ATTAAGGTCACTGATGCCATCAAGAAGGATACAGAGATATTTTTGAATAAAAGGTTTTTGGTAAGTAGTAGTTTTTGCGGTGTTAAGAGCAGACGGGAATTTATTAGGGTGTTTATACGGGAATTTATACGGGAATTTATTTTTGTTTTAACAATAAAACTAAAAAGTTTTGTTGTTAAAACAAAAATACTATTTTTTTTTTTTTTTTTTTACAAGTTTCATTCAAGGATTTAGAGATAAAGTAATAAAACTAAATTTGTCAAAAAAAATACTTTGATGTATTAAGAAAAAAACCAAGTGCCAACCAAAAGTAGAAATTATTATACTTATAACTATATTTAAATCATTGTCGAAGTTTTACACGTCATAAACTTAATAATGAAAATTGAAATAAAAGAAGTAGACTTTAAATGAATAAATAATGATTGTAAATTGTGCCTGGAAAAAAGTGTTTGTTCTCATTGTGTAATAAGTAAAAACTTTTGAAAACTATTGTTACTATTGGTTACTTATAGTTACTATTGGCCACAAAAGATTTAGTTCAATTGGTGCATTAAAAATTACATTTGGCAATTCTGATCCTGCCATAATTGTAAGAACAGACAGCCTGCATTTATTTAGAAACGATTTATTTTACTGCCAAACACCATATTTTAATTTTAAAAGATCTCCAAAACTTGTTTAAATAGCCAAGACACTTAGTTCTAATTATTTGGTTTACAATTAAGTTGGTTATGAGTTTACAAATAAGTTAATGAACTTCATGTAAGTTGCATTGATTGTTTTCATTGTTCATCGTGTAATTTATCATGATAATTATGAGATTAATTTTTATATTATCATTTATAACGATTTTATTTATTTTGTACTATGGCATTGGACTTTTTAAACGGCTCATGAAAGAAAACTCAAACCTATTAGTATGGCTAAACCAAGTTGGCCATACTAACAGGTTTGAGTTTTCTTTCACACTAACAGGTTTGAGATGATAGTCAAAGCCAATATGAAAAAAACAAAAGAATTCAAACAATTCAACCATTTTGGTTAAAAGAATATTCTTGGCTTCGGTATAACAAAATATCGGGGTTTTATAAAGAAGAAGCAACAAATAATATTAAAAAGTTTGTAAAAGAATTAAACAAGGACAGCAAGAAAAATCAAGACAGTATGACTTATGATGAATTCAAGGATGTCATGATTTGTTTAAATTGCAGTGAGAAGTATTATCACTCTAACCAATTAATAGAAAGTTACATTCCAACAAAAAACAAGTTTAAACAATTTCTTTTATATTCAGTGCTATATTGTATAGAATTAAGAGTGCTGCAAAGCATTGCAAATCCACAAATATACAACACGCTCTAGCAATGGATCGACAAAAAAACTTAGAAAAAGAAAAAAATAACAAATTGAGTGAAGTTCAACTGGTCAAAACAACTTTTTCAGAAGCTCAAAAAACAAATTTGCAACTTTTGTTTCAAAACACGTATGATGTGTTGAACGAGGAAAAACTGTTTTCTGATAACCAGCTTTAGTAAGATTGGATTAAACGAAAGGTGTTATATTTGAGAGAATATATCACACAATAATGGAAACATCAAAACAAGATTTTTGGCAATAGACAATCTAACTTAACCTAATGTAATGCAACTGACAGCCTTAATGTTAAAACTTTTAAAAACCGAAATGAAATGGGATCCTCCACAGAAGAAAAAAGCCTCTAGAAATAGCTACCACTGCCTCTAGAAATAGTTACCTCTGTAGAAGGTCTTGAAGGTGAAATAGTTACCCCTGTAGAAGGTCTTGAAGGTGAAATAGTTACCCTGTAGAAGGTTTTGAAGGTGAAATAGTTACCCCTGTAGAAGGTCTTGAAGGTGAAATAGTTACCACTGTAGAAGGTCTTGAAGGTGAAATAGTTACCCCTGTAGAAGGTCTTGAAGGTGAAATAGTTACCCCTGTAGAAGGTCTTGAAGGTGAAATAGTTACCTCTGTAGAAGGTCTTGAAGGTGAAATAGTTACCACTGTAGAAGGTCTTGAAGGTGAATCTGAAAGAGAAGAATTAATACATATAGAAAATGAAATATTCTACTTATTTAGCAAAGTGACAACGATATTGCCAGTTTTGAAGGTTTCCTAAGTGAAAAGGAACCGAAGTGAAGAGGAATATAAGTGAAGAGGAACCTAAGTGAAGAGAAACCTAAGTGAAGAGGAACCAAAGTGAAGAGGAACCTAAGTGAAGAGGAACCTAAGTGAAGAGGAACCTTAGTGAAGAGGAAACTTAAGTGAAGAGGAACCTAAGTAAAGAGGAACCTAAGTGAAGAGGAACCTAAGTAAAGAGGAACCTAAGTGAAGAGGAACCTAAGTGAAGAGAAACCTAAGTGAAGAGAAACCTAAGTGAAGAGGAACCTATGTGAAGAGGAACCTATGTGAAGAGGAACCTATGTGAAGAGAAACCGGAATAATTAAAAATGTCATTTATTTCACAAAGTGATTTAAATTAGATATTAAAAATATTACTAAATGCAAATATTTAATTAAACATAAAATGCAACTATATATTAATTAATAAGTATACACAATTATTTTTTAAAATAAAATATTTATGTAATAAATAATAAATTATTTACTAATAAACTTAAGAAACAGTTAAATTAATAAAATATTGTAAATTTGCATAAAGTAATAAAATATGTAGCTTGAGTTTGCATTGAGACATCCATGAAGAAGTGTATTTTGAAAAGATGCTGTAATGTACCAGATGTGTCTGCGGAAGCAGAAGAGTTGCTTAACACAGTTGAATGGACAAAAAGCAACTTTTTTACAGTTGAAAACAATAAACGAAATGCTTGAATATAAACTAGCAGATGCTGGAATATTTTAACAGAGTGGGAATTATTAAAGAAAATAATGCCAAATTGGATGGGTGCAAGCTCAAAATCATTTCCACCAATATCTTGGGCACAAATAGCAATAAATATCAAACCAGATAAATTCACTAATCATTTGTCTCTAATTGATTTTTTATTGTGCTATAGCTTAGTTTTGACAGACGCAGCAAAAGGCTTTAGCGCAATGAAAAATGTTAAGTCAACTCAAAAAACAGTATTAAGTTGTTAACAATGCAATAGTGCACCAATATTGATGGTATGGAAATGGAAGCATATAACCCAATAAAAGCCATTGAACATCGGTTATTTAACCAGTCACGAAAAAAAGAAACAAATAAAAGATAGTTTACTAAATTACTTTTATTTATACAAACTACTTATAGCCTAAACTTAGCTCTATAAGGGTTCGTACATAAAATACATACGCTCATAGGGGGGAGGGGGAAGGTCTTCAAAAAGCGTACAAAAGCGCATTGGGGGGGGGGGGTTCAATTTAAAAGTATGTACATCAATTTTCTAATTTATCACATTTAACCAGCTAATCAATAAAAAATTTAAAATTCTGACTAAAGATACTAGTTTACCAACATAAAAAGATGTATGATTTCCCTCTATGCAGACTAGGGTTATGATTTTTTATCAACCCCATGCTCCTGTACTGTAGTTTGATGAACTTTTACCTAAAGGTTCATCAAACTACAGTACAGGAGAAACTTTGTTCACACAGAAGCCTGAGAATAAAAAAGCCCTAAAATGCTTGCCCCCTTATGTCCAAACGTGAGGGCATTAATTTAGTAAAATTTTCAACTTTACTATCTAGAACTAAAT